ACATAGCGATAATTCGCTTACGTCTGTCAGAATTATTGAATTAATTAGCATTACAAGATCAAGTGAAACCCTATGAGTGGCGCCCGAAAAAATTACACATCATGTGACAAGATAAGAAATTATTTAGTCTAATCCACCCCAACCAAGTTTGCAGGCTCCACCAGGAACTCAACTAGAAGGCTTTGGATTTATCGCAGACACGATGCGAGCGTCAATGAAACCAGCAAGAATTTTCGATGGCGGAAGTTTGGCAGTGACCTTTCTGGAATAATTAAAGACCCAATTTTTACTTTGTCCAGTTACAGAAAGTCATCATAGCAAACGACACGCTTCGAGGACAAGCAGTGTGCTGGTACAAAGGCATCGGTAAATTTTTGTTGGGTGAACCAGGTAAGGAGAATAACAAATTTGATGTATTTAAAACCGCCCTTGTGAAAGCATTCCAAGTTGCGAATAGAAAATACAATTAAAGAAAATACAACAGTAAACTTATTTATGGAGAAAAGCCCTATGCAGAGGTTATCCAAATAACATTGTCTAGGTTGTTGCTTCAAATTCAGAAACCCGAGTAAGCTACAGTAGTTATTTAAGCTAGCGGTGAAGTCTGAAAGTAGACGAATATCAATGAGTACATACACAGCGGGAGATGAGCAGAGCTCGAGCGGATATTTTCGTAGATCTGTAGCAGATGGAGGTAGACATTTTGATAGCCGGAAGACATTTTCACCCACTAATGATGATCGCCAAAATAAGTCGCAAAAGAGGAAACTGGGGGAAGATGCTAAGAATTTAAACTAGCAAGGGGTATTGATATACAGAGGATAAGTCACTCCGATATCGAAACGGAAGATTCTAAAATCGTAACCCCCCCCCAAAAAAAAATAATAATAATACAGCAAAAAAAGTTAAGTCTCATTTTAGGGCTTGTGCTCCTATTATGGGGTTTTCATCAAATATTTTGCTCTTATAGCAGGGCAACTATTAACCTTGAAGAGAAAAGAAGTCAAGTTCACCTGGTTGGCAGAAGCAAACAGGGCATTTGAAAGCCTTAATGCGGTATCAACTCAAGGTCCAGACTAAAAAATTTCCTGAAGCAGACGGCAAATTATAAATTGTAACCGCCAAATCTGACGCATCTGCAAAATTAGAAATCTTTGCCAAGGTTTGTGAACAAATAGAAGTTTGCGAATTTCATTAATGAAATGTTTCAATGTACCCCGATCAAACTTTTAACATTCGGCCACTGGTAGGGCTTTATATGGGACGAAGAGATTTGCTTTTGCGAGATGCATATGGAAATGCAGCACTATTCTTTACCATTCTCCCCCTCCCCCCAATTTTTTTTTTCTTACATTACGAAACTTCTGTATTTCAAAGGACACACATTAAAAAAAGAATTAAAGACCCCCCCCCCCAAAAAAAAAATTAAGCTTTCAGATTTTACATTACGCCCAAAGGGACTTTTTTTTTTAACGTTTTGTGTGCTACCTTTATTTATTAAATATCATGTTCTTCGCACTTAAGCCATAAAATTCAATTCAAGTGCAATATCGCAAAATAATTTTAATATAAGCATATCTTTAGAATTTCTGATACACAGTCTTGCGCGCTGGAGACGTAAATTTATTTATTTATTTATTTCATACAGTGTTGCCATTCCTCGCTTTGAAATCGTTAGTTTCACTTGCGAGTTTGTTTTGTTTTTCTTCCTTTGCGCTTTGGCAGCTGAGTATAATGGTTCGGTAAACCGTTGAAACTAGTCCTGTAATCATTTGCAAATAGTATAACGCTGATTTTTGTTGTCCGACTTCTAAATTAATCGTTGAGTTTGTTAATCAAAAATTCTTTAATGTCTGACAAAATATGTTATATATAATAAAACAAATTCCAAATTAGGGCTTCCAGATGCCCATATTCGGTGGAGGATTACGTTATTCAAAATTTGATGGCTCTAGGTATCGTTGTTTTATCGTAATGCGAGAAACATACATACATTTATGCAGATTCTTCGTTATTTAATTTCTTTAAATACAGGGCTGTGATATTTGTTGGCAACAGTTTGAAAAGTGAATCAACGCAAAATGCCAAAACGAAACTAATAGCTCTTCTGGGCTAAAAAAAAATCTAAGCATAAAAAAAGACTAGAAACACTCAACTTCTTCAACAAAATCTTCCTCTGAAGGAATTATTTCAGCAAGATTTGTGTTGCTCTTGAAAATAATTACTAACAGCTCCCAGTGTTAATATATTAATTTATATTTAATATGTTTTTCTTACATAGTATTAAAACTTAAAAATACAGATTTACCTCGCATAAGGAGATCGGCAACAGTTCAACGTCCTACGTGTATGGAGATCAACAAACCATAAACCGTTTCAGAAGATAAAAGGTATTGCGTTCCCATTCAAAAAAAAAAAATTATCATTTTTACTATTTATGAACTCACACCCTTTCAAAACATAAAAGGAAGACTAGACTCTCGTGAACTCTTTGTACCGAGCTTATCTTCATGCAACTGGACTTTGATTCAGTTGGTTGGTTGACCTGAACAGCATTCAAACCTTCACTCAACTCTTTGAGTAAATAATCTTTCACGCAGACGATTAGTTTTTAAATCGATGCAGACAGAAAGTAAGGATTTTAAACTCTTCATAGCTTTAATCATACAGTACTTACATTAATAAAACTAACGTATTTAAAATGCTATATCAATATGCTATACTTAAGATAATTTTTCATTTTCCATAAGGCAATCGATCATACATCCTAACCTTTTCGTAAATTTATTTTCGAAAGCTGATATATTGCTATTTCTAATGCATACAAGGTAAAATTATAAAGCTGTCATAATGCTAAAATTGATAGAATATCATAGATAAACAATGTTTTAGCTTTTTGTAAAAAAACTAAATTAAATTCCAGTAAAAGGTGTGTGTATTTAATTATGGCAAAGCACACTAGGGCTATCTGCCTAGGAGGAGGGATGCCTTCGTGGAGGACTTTCTAGGGGAAACTGGCTCGTATGCGCGTCACACATGGGGAAAGCCACGAAAGCGCCCATGCAGCCAGCTCGTTCGCGGGATTTGAACCTCGGACCGAACTACCAGTGTTCAGCGACTTTACCGCTCGGCCGCTGGTGAGCCCAATTCCAGTAAAAGAAACTACAATATAATCATGACATTATAATGGTAAGAGAAAAAAAAAAAAAAAAATTAAAACACTTGTTACAGGATGTTATAGATTTCTTTTCAGCTAGCATCAACAACATTCTGAAAGACAGACAATTCTTATAGAATTTCAACTAATTGGCATAGTAGCTTTGTTTATAACCATTAACGTTTCCAAACATGAAGTTATTATAAGTAAAATATTAATCATATAGAAAAATCAAGTTAGTGCTTTCTCTCCTAATTTAAACTTGAATATATTCTTATATGTAACATATCAGCATATATTTCTGTAAAACGGAATCAAAATTTGTAAATCTATGTCAGGAAATTTGCCGTTCAATGCTGTGAACAGCTTGTACTTTTACAAGCAACATGATCTTTCATTTTGGCAGCAATTGTCCTAAACAAAATGGATCTACCTATATATGCAAAAACTGTTTAGTTTTTTATAATTATTCAGATTAGTATTATTTCAGAAAAGTATTTTAATGAATTATATTTCACGCACAGATATTTTACACTGTTATTTTGTTGTTATTTACTTTATCTTTTTGACATTTCCTTATAAATTAAAATCATTTTCATGTTTCACCGTCGCCACAAATTTAGTTTTACAATCTTTTACTGTGTTTTTATTCTCTCGTTATAAATTGCATTTATTTTTCTAACACTCTGAAGAGAAAACTGACATTTTTTAAGGGGCGTTTTGATTCGCCCGTTATGAATTGCATTTATGTTTTTGAAGTGAAAACTAAGTTTTTTTCCCGCAGCATCTATAACACTTCCTACATTTATAAATTCGTTCTTTTTATCAAATATTCGAAAATTATAGCAATGAGTAAAATCTAACGGCGCTTTTGATTTTTTATAATACATGGCGCTGTTTTTTAAAACAATTAATGACAAAAATATGAAATCAAACAGATCAGACATGCCTAATTCAAGATTTAACATTCATTTTACATATATTTAATTTGTTGACGTTGCTATACTTAAATTTGAAGTATAGCTACTTCAAATTTGACCAGACATTATTGACTGAAAGAATACGCAATGAACAACAAATCAATAATTAACGAGAGAAATTGCCGCCAGAAAGTTCTGTCCAATTTACTAGACGTGCATCCACCGAAGGACTCCGAACGTAAACAAACTTGAGAAGGCAAAGCAAGGATTGCAATGGGAAAGTAAGGAATATGCAGCTTTTCTAGTTAACAACCCCGAATAATATCAATATACTATATCAAGTTGTAGACGATTGCAGTACGTACTACAGTTATAGGCCAAAACAATATTTTTTTCCTACTTAAAGAAATGTTACATAACTTAGTAATTACTAATTCGATCGAATCGAGTTCCATACTCAAAGGAATGTATTCCTACATCTGTCAGAAATACTTCAATATATTACTCTATAAGCATAGCATATAATTTATCCGAGGAGAGGAAAGTAAACCACATAACGCAATTAGTACTTTTTACAATTCACTATTAATAATCAAAATTATATAAACACTGTGCATTATATTTAAAATAACGAAATATATATTCACAATGTGTCAAACAATAATAAATCTAGCAATCATAGAACTTGATATGGCATTATTTTTAAACAGTTTACTAAAAGTGTGCAATTAAAATAAACAAGATTTAAGGACTGACTTTGCATTATGAAATTACAGCAGTCAAATTTAAAAACAATTTTACATAAAATTAATAGCAATTCTTCTGTCTGTATGTTAAATTACCAGGAAAAAAACATTATATAATGTACTAAATTCATTAAAATTAATTTAGATTCTTTATTTCAAAACAGTTTAAACATTTACCTTGATAGTTAAGCTCTCTGCTAGGAACGAAAATTATTAATGGCACAATACCAGTCAATCCGATTACACAGGATGCTAGAATAGATAAAATCCAAGTCTGATAACGATTATTATCAGATAATCCATTGAAGAATAGATCCTGAAACCAATATACTGAAGACTCGCAGTTTGTAGAGCAATCGGTCACTTCTGTAGCCGCCGTTGCGAGATGTAAATAGTACAAAGAAAGAGAACATAAGCATAGTTTGTACATAATTAAATAAGTGATGATGACAAGCCTTACACAAGGTAGATCAGATTCGTAATGAGCCTGATTAAGACCATAGCAACTCACATCACAGAAGATGATGAAGAGCTGTCTTGCTGACCACTCTGTTTTCCGTCACTGGCTTCCCCCTTCCCTTAGCTGAATTAACAACTACTAATCAAGGTTAGCAGCAAAGTGTCGCCATCTGTTGCTTGTTTTGAGTACTAGCATACATATTCCTCTCCTTGGAGTTTCAACTCAAAAAATAGCTCTAAATATCTGATATTCTGTAAAAGAATATGTATGACTAACTCTGTATTATGGAGTACATAGTGTTTCATTTATAACATTATACAACCATGGTGAAAGAGATGCAAAAGTGTAATCATAATATTTTTATTTCATAAAATATTTTAAAAGAGAATGTTTTATAATAACCCAATTTATGTTGTAACAATTATATTAAAATAATATTTTCTGATAAATAAACTAATTTAATGGTTAAATATTTAATTATGTCTGTTTTGTAAGTAACAATACAACATTTCCTTAATTTTTCAAATGAAATAAATCTTTTTGCAACAAATTCTTAAGACGCACATTCTTTTGGATATATTTTATTTGTAAAAAGTATTAATGAATTTAATACAATGCTATTAATTAATAATTTATTAAATCAATAAATAACCAAAACAATGGAATCACGTAACAGAACTGATGATGGCTCGAAGGGGCCATAGAGATCAGTTAGTTTTTCGAGAGAGAATTCTGATTATGATCTTAAAAATGAATCTTTCTATCGACTCCGGGGCTTAATTTCTAAAAGTAGAAGTGCCAGATCCCAATGGAGGACCGTCAGGCAAGAGGAACAAAAGTAAATAAATATATAAAATTACTAATAAAATCATTAATAATTTAAAAATTAAATAGTTAATGAGTATCAAATTAAATAATTAATATTCATTAATTATTATTTAATCGATAATTATTATTTAATTAATTCATAATTAATTTATCATTAATTATTAAAATAATTGAAAATTAAAGTAATTAAATTTAAATAAAATCAAAAGAGATGAATTAAAATTTAATAAGCGATTTTTAAGAAACCACTTCTCACATAAAAAGATTGAGAATAGCAACGGGTAAGTCTGGGACAAGGATGAGACAAGTGAGGTACTTGCCTTAGGGGAATAGAATTGGTAGGCCGTCAGATGAGCTGCAAAAAATCATAAATACCTTTTTAAAAAAGGAATTAAGTATGCTAACTTTCAAAACTGTAAGCGCATCAATAAGCACAATTCCAAATTATCACATTTAAGCAATAAAAAGCGTACTATGTTACGGACACGGCTTTTCATTATCGGTGCTGTATAGCCAAAAACATGGCTTCTATTAATAATTTTTTCCCACTCATCTGCTCTCTCCAACTGCCAAGCGGTAAAATCACTAACACTGGTAGTTAGGACTCGGTTCAAATCCTATGCTTTGGAGTTTTCACGTTTTTCCCCAGTGTAAGTGAATATGGACCAGTAAAATATCCCTTAAAATGTCCTCCACGCGAGTATACCTTCCTTCAAGCAAATAGCCCTTATGCCCTTTGCTATAATGTAAGAGCTCTAACCCGAGTTATCTACTTAGTCAGGCTGTCGCCTTTCAGTTTTCATTTTACTCAGCGTAGAGTCGATATAATAAACATAAAATTACTTAAGTATAAATTAACTAATTTATTTTATTATTTGCTTGAGAATCTTATGCAGTTGCATAAGACTGAAAGTAAAACGTATTAGTTTGTTGCTTCTTTTTTTCCAATAAAGTTTGCCTTTGAATGAGACTCATGAGTGAAGTCTTTGACATCCTGCTGTATCCGTGTTTAATCATGGACCTTATAAGAAACTTATCTCTTATAAGGTCCATGTATTTAATTCGTTCTCGAAACGGTATAGTTAGCACAGCCGGAATAAGAGGGATGCGAGTGAGGCCCTTGCCGCAATTGGAAAATAAGAAGCTCCAAATTAGCTATGAAAAATTAGAAATTCATTAAAAAAATTAATTATAATTATTAACTTTCAACTTTGAAAAAGCTCAAAAAGACTTACTTTTAAAACATATTTAAAGCAACAAAGTCTATTTAAGCAACACTATTTATAATAATTCAAAATCACTGCATTTTTTTATGCTGCTTTCTTTCTCTGTGTTAATAATAGTTGCCCATCTGATATATACTTTGGTACTTTGGTGATCTTCCCGGCACTCAGCAGGATGATTCTTTCCTGCTCTTGCCAGTATCCTCAGAGAATCCCGACTGGGCCTGACATATGATGGGGTCTGAAGACGTTAGTCATTCTTTTTGTAGCCATCTCCTCGGTCAGGATAGCGCCTCTCGATTCACATTTTGACTCAGTCTAGTTGTCAGAACTAGTATGTCTTTTTATTTGCTTTGGAAACGTGATGTATCCTGAATAGGAACAGGGATCTTATTCAAGCTATGTTCAAATATGCGTGGAATAGACAACACCAGCAGGAAGGGTGGACTTAACCCTTCTGTATAAGATCACTGGTGCTCCCGCACTTCGGGATACAGAGACCAACCACTTGTGCTCTGACCGTAAAAATATAAAGCTACTAACTAAAATTCTAAATAAAAGCTAACTTTGAATTAGTTTACAAATGCCTAACAATAAGACTGGCCTTTTAAAAGATTACGTATGTAGTATGCAAACTGCCGAAACTACAATACGTTTTAAGTATCGAGAGGACTAAACCTCTGGCCTTAAAGGCAAGCAACAACTGATTGAAAAATATGCAACGCCTTCGCCGGGAATCGAACCACGGATCTCTGGAATACACCGGCCCAGTGTGCAGAACCACTACACCACGAAGGCACGTTAGGAAGGTGGGACAAATAACTTATATAGTGACAACATAATATGCTGCAAAATATGCTGCTTCTCTTAAATCAGAATTTTGCATTGCAAAAAGCTGATTTAAGAGAAGAATTAGGAAATTAATTTCCTTTTCGGACCTTACTGTGGCGACCGAGTACTGTATATACCGTTTTCTAACATTAAAATTTATTTTTTGAATTGTCGTAATCAAGTAAGTTTACCTTTACGGTAATCAGTTGAATAGATTTAACGTGCCCATGTTGTCGACATCAGTAATTCTCTACTGTCTTCCTTTAATCTGAACTATAGCTCTTACCGCTCTCATTTCGCGGTAACAACAAAACAATAATATCCAAATTCACGAACTAAGTATTGTTTCTATGTTTCAGGGAAGCCTAATGCTCAAAAGTTCATCGGAATAGGATATAGATATTCAAGTAGGATAGCTTATATATATATAAATTATTCTCTCATTCGTTTAAAGCTAATTTAAATTAAAATTTTAAATTATGAAAATTTAATTGTATGCAAATAAAAGATCAATTATTAATGCGAACTAATTTGCAATATCATTTAAATTCAGAGAATATATGTAAATTACGTTCAGAGGTTTTACAAAATAAGCTTTTATTTAAAACTAATAGAATCATTAATGAACTAAAAGGAGAAAAATAATTTATCTTTTAGCTTAATGGGAACAACAGATTAAATAACAATGTTCACAAAATTCATCTATAATTTTACATCGCGAATGGTGTAGAAGCGTGGGCGCCCTTGATAAATTTATAAAGATAATGGCTTCTAATTTTAGCAATGTTGCTAAAAAATCAACGTTTACCCGATCATTTGATTTCGTTATTTAAGCTCCCAGGTATTATTATGTGCGATATAAAACTGCAGAACTTTGTAAAGAAAATTATTTAATCTTTTGTTCTCATTGAACTATAACATTTTTTTTCTCCATTTAGTTTATTAATGATCTGAATTTTAAATAAACTTATTTTATTAAAACTTTCCTTATTTTCTTCCCGTTATCAATCAAATTATTCAGCTTAAAAATAAATTTTCAACAATGAATTATCACACTTATTCTTCCATTAATTCTGTTATATCAAAATATTCCAAAAATTTTGCCTCCTTTCCCCAGAAAAAGAAACCGAAATTGTGTTAAAATCTCACACAAACTTCATTTAAAAGATTTTTTCTGCCGCTCTATCTGATGTTGCGAACACTGAAATTCCGAGAATTTTAGCTCCTTTGCTAAACGAAGATATATGAGTAAAATCATTTAAACATTTAATTAAAAAAATTCCAAGTCAGAGTTGGAAAAATTCCTCGCACCACATTGTATTGTCATAATTCCAAGTCAGAGTTGGAAAAACTCCTCGCACCACATTGTATTGTCATATGAAAACATTATGTGGGCAAAATTTTAATTTCAATTTTATTATGATGTAGCTTAAAAATAAAAAATGGCTGACAAACTTTTGACCATAGCGACAAACACCATGAGTGAGCTAAATAAAAGCTTATGAAAATTAAACGGTATTATAAATCTCTTTCTCCATTTTCGTTATAAAGTTTTGACTTGCTCCATTTATCATTATAAAATATATCTTGGAACAATGCGTATATTCTGAGCTTCTGTAACGATGCATCCATGTTTAGTTTCCTTCAAAACTGTGCAGTTGGTTTCGTTTATGACTTCAAAACTGTGCAGTTGGTTCGTTTCGTTTATGTTCATGCTGAAATAGTTACAACTGTATCTACATCAATTAAACGAATCTTACCATAGAACATTTTCTGTTAAGACTGGAATATGAAGAGATAAAGTAAGAGACGTCTTCTCTTCTTCTGAGTTATTCTAATGTTTATAATGAAATAATAAGATGTTTTTTTATAGAAAAGAAATAAAAAATGTATTAAAATTTTAAGTTTTGCTCTGGAAGTGCTAGGGCAAACTATGTTAGCTAGAATAATTGATATTAAGTAACAGAATAAGGCTGTAATACTCTGTTATAACTAAGGCTCTTAGAAATGAATTGCGGCTATGAATGCTAATACTTCGATCTAGGTTCATACTCGGCGAACAGGCAATTACATGAATGCTTTCGTGTTGCCATGAATGCCTTGTAACACACGAACACGAGCCATTTCTCTTGGAAAGTCCTCTACGTACATTCTTTCCCTTAGGCAGATGGCCCTTTCCTGCTGTACTTTAGTTGCCAAATCGAAGCTAA